TATTTGCCATCACCTACGCTACATCCTAGATTGTGGGGTGATTCTGCCTTTTGCCTTTGGAAACAACTCAAAATTATTATGATGCTTTAAAAATGGCAAAATTAAGGTGAGTTATACTGTAAATTGTATTGAAATGTTAATCGACTTAGCCTTTCATCACTGTATAGAATACTATAAAATAGCATCATTTCTGCCTCATTCTCTGATATGAAAACAGTTCACAAAATGAAGTTATTTCAAACATTCGACTGATGCTGCTAAGTGACTTTGGACTAAATTTTTGTTTGACAACAATCACGCGTCGCGTCCTACTGTGGTACATTTATTTTTTTTCTCGCATATGTACAGCCCTGAGAATGTCTCTAATTTATCAGTAATGTCGACATGGCTGACTCTTCTTGCTCCTGGTAGCTTCGTAGACTAGCCTACATCTGTGGTGCGTGATATAGCCAGGAAATATTAGACCATCTGTACTTTGTTACTTCACATCTCTGTATTTTATAATGGTTTATAAATTCACCTTTTATAAGGTCGTTGCAAACTCATCAGCCGTACTTATCTAATATAGTCTAGCATAGCCTCCAGGAACGTATTACTCTTAAAAATGATTCATAAAAGAGTAAGTAGAGTGAAATATTGAGGACATAAATTTATACATCATTTTTACTAAGCAAATTCATGAAGAAAAGATCATCCAAAAATGCTAACTACTTAACCTTTCTGTCATATCAAACTATGACATGTATTGTTTACAATCACTTCGCCTCCTTCGCACGTCATCCATGTTAATATTAAATCAACTACTCAATTTTAGAACAATAAGCATTAAAAAGCGCTTTCATAGCTCTAAATACGTTTTTTTGTAGAAAACTAGAATTGAACCGCACGTGTGCAAAGTGTCAGCAGTGTTTTTTTCCCGTGTATTTCGTGTTTTTTCGTTCCTAACCCTAAACGATTAAAAAATTGTAATGAAATACTTATATTAAATAATTATTTCTTTATTTTTTTTAAAAATGGGATTGAAATACTGAAACAATATTAAACCGCTAAACACTTTGCTTTTTTATTATGAGTTTGAGATAAAGCCACAGTTTATGGGTAAAGCACAGTAACATACTTTATCACAGATGGAATATAAGTAAATATGGATTTTCTTGTAACATTAGTTACTTAATGCCAATTTAGTGCTGCTTTAAATAATTTTCTGGTCTGTTTATTTATTTTTTTCATTTTATTTTATTAACAAAAGAAACGGAGTGTTGTGAAAAAAACATGAAAACAAGCTATAAAAATTGTATGCTGTAGTTTAACAGAAAATATATAAATATAAAATATTAATTGTAAAAAAAAAAAAAAATCAGAGTGCTTCTTTTGCAACAATAAATAGTCTGAGTAGAGACTAAATAGTGTTCTGCTCATTTTAATGAAATACAGTGAAAAGAAATAAGCTTCATTATGACTTTGAGACAGCTAGCTATATTGTGACTTTCAGTTGAATATTTATTTGTTTCATTGCTTCATGTGCAGATTTCTACACACATTCTGGAAGTTTTGGTTTCCATTCCCCGTCTGCGCCACAGGTGACAAAACTCTCTTTTAAAAGCCTCAAACCAGGATTGCAGGCGATTGTCACTGTGTTCCCATATTTATAGACCGCCCTAAAACCCCTCATTCTTGATCCACGTGGCACTTGTGGGTTAGGACAGACAATGTCTGAAAAGCACAGCAAATAATCTGTCAATTCATTCATGTATTCAAGTCTGACAATTCATTTGAGAGAATATACAAAATTAAATTTTGTGATATCAAAGGGACCACAGATGTGTGTGTGTGTATATATATATATATATATATACACACACACACACACATACATGCATTTATATATACAAACATACATACATACAGGGTTGGGCAAAGATACATCAAAATGTATTTTAAAATAAAATACCAAATACCTTCATTTTAAGTGTATCAAAATAAACTACAAAATACAGCAGCCACACCATGTATCAAAATAAACTACTGTATTTTTGTATTTTAAAAATACTAAAAAATACTTTTACAAGGGAGCATGAAATTTCTTCGCAAACCTTCCATCAATTGGCCTATTTGATCTATCCCTTCACCATTGCACTGACTCAGATGATTAAGTAAACAGTGTTTGATAGCAACAGCTTTTCTCTGCCCGAGTCATGCAATAAATCTGACATATGCAATCAGTTAACAGATCAAATATTCACATATCCCTGTGATCTCCCAGATGAATGTTAGTTTTAAAGTAACCAACAATTTAATGTTTAACAGTTTGCGAATGACTCATAATTGTATTCTAATTTAGTAATTAGGGTACAATATTCAGCAATCAAACATTTATTTATCAATCATTGGATATCTATTTGGAAGTTGAAAAACATTTTAGCTTTTCAACAATTATTAAATGATCAATATGTTTTGTTTTTAAATGTAGCCAGAAACGTAATCAGAATGTAGCAACAGAACTTGTCAAGGCGTATTAACCCAACTCCAAACACTGGATCTATTGAGAGCCATAGCAGTATAGAGGACACATACACATTAATAGTGTAGTAAGAACATTTACTTATAATCCAAAAGAGAATACTACAGAGCAGGTATTCCAAAACATTTGAAACGTTCTAACAGAAACAGTCAAACTTATGTGTGAATGTGGGAGAGAAAGTAAGTTTGTGTGTGTGTGTGTGTGTGTGTGTGTGAGAGTGAGTGAGGGAGTGTATTGAATGAGTGTGTGTGTGTGTGTGTGAGGGAGTGAGCTGCCGTGTGCAGCTCTGCTATGCTCTTTCACACGCGGTCATATCCGTGTCTCAGAGCGGCTCACAGTAAATGCTGCTGCTCCACGCGAGTTTAGACCATTACACCAATATCGTGGCATTAAAATGTAATGTTGTACAACACTGAAACGCTGTATTATTATTTTTTTCGTGTACAACCGACGAACTTAACATAGGCTGAAAGTAGCAAGCTAACGTTAATTGTGGGGCTGCTGCTCGGTATAATAGTTTTCAACAACATTATGTAAATTGGTAAACTATTTAGCCTAGGCTACTAAAACGAACACAAACTTAACATGAACTGTTAAAAATTATAGCAATTTATGCAAAAAAATTGATGGAAAGCTGGCAGCCTGCACGTTTCTTACCTTGACCAACTTCTTCCATATGCATAAATTTTCTGTTCTGATCTCAACAAGTCTGGGCAAACTAGCCTATTGAGCAGGCACCCATCAAAGGCCGCATTTTTATGATGTCATCATGTAGACTTTTTACAAAGTATTTTACAGTATTTTAAAACTACAAAAATACAAAACACTAAAGTATTTTGATACAAAATACGAAGCCATTTTCATCAACCCTATCAAATACAAATTACAAAATACTATTTTGTATTTGAAATACGTATTTGAAATACATGTATCATAAATACTGCCCATCCCTGCATACATATGTATGTATGACTGAACATTTCTTCTGGGTTTTTTGTTGCCACATTAATCATTTTACCTTCTATGTATTACATTTAAATGTAAATGAATAAATACAAAGTAAATAAATAAACATTGAATAAAGTAAATATGTAAATAAAAAAAAGAAAAGAAATAAAAAATTAACAAATAAAATCAATAAAAGGTCAATAAAAATTATAAAGTAAATAAGTGAATAAAAATTAATAAATAAAAAGTAAATTAAAGTAAATAAATACATCTAAATAAAAAGTAAATAAAAATACAAAAAGTAGAGAAAATAAAGAGTAAATAATTGAATAAACAAAAAGTAAATAAAAAAAATGAATAAATTAAATAAATAGAAAAAAAAATAAAAAATAAAATAAAAAGCAAAACGTAAGTAAATAAAAACAATTAAAAAAATCAAACAAGTAAATAATTTCTCCAAAGAGCTAAAAAATGATGGGCCCTTTATGAATATATGGCCACAGTAGAAACTGAGATTTAACTTACCTTACCCTACCTGAAAAGCTAAAATATCTTGAAATAAACAACCTCAGTCGTATGGTCAATACTCAATGACCACATGCACTCTTTATATGTGTACCTTTGCACTCAGGAGGAGGAGCGCTCCAGGCGCCGTTCTTGGTGCAGTAAATCTCTCTTGCACCAATCAGAGCTCCAGTACGGCAGTGATAGGACACCACATGACCGAAGGGAGCATGGTCATATATGGGGTCAAACATCTCAGCATCCTTGACCTCTGGAGGTGGAGGACAGTGCACAGCTGCAAAAAAACACACATATATCATCTATCTATGAGACCGATGTAGTGTGCAGTGACCATGTACAGTAGGAAGCCAAATCCATAGGCATTTGGTTTGCAATATTGAAGCCAAGCTATACAACATTAAAAAAAGTCTCAGAAAACAGTCATACGTTCACACACAGGGCTCCTTCCATCCCAGCCTCCATCCCGGCAGATCCGCACTTTTGGGCCGGTCAGCTCATATCTAACAAGAGCAATTAAAAAGGATGGATGAATGTCTAATAACTAGGGCTGTCAATTTAACACATTAATCTAATGAATTAGTTATGGAAAAAAATAACACGTAGAGTCGTCTTCTCTCTGTAGCTCTCACAGTACATGTCAAACACTGATTGGTCTGCGCAGCACCGCTTCAAGCCAAACACGCCTATACAAGTTGATTGGTGACAAACATGAAGCGGGGTGCAGTTATATGCCCCTAAAATTTAAGATATAGGGGCAAGAATGACCATGTATGAGTTTTTGTATCATATTTATATCATATGATATAGTTAAGCAATATCACACAAGCAATCACACGAGTGCTGTTTTTGTCCTGAATAGCACGAGTGCAAATGTGATATTGATTTTATACAACATTTCAATAAATAAGACCTTAATATTGTGTTATATTTTAGACACAATATTGTCTGTTTTTGCTCAGTTTTGCCAATGCAAATATTACCTATTAAAGCCACAGCAGAACTGTTGTGCATCTCCAAGCAACACACAATTCCTGAAGGAATCTTTTTGAACGAATCGTGTGAACCAATGATTCAATGGCCCATTCATTAAGAGAGCTGTTTACTTCATCCTTGAATGAATCAGCCGTTTGAACGAATCGAATGAATGAATGACTCAATGACTTATTCATAAAGATATTTACCGCCACCTACTGGCAGTTTTAGTTTCTTATTTACAGTATCATTTCATTAAAAAGATTTTAATAATTACATATTAATAAAAATCTGAAAATAAAAATTAAAAATCCATATTTATAGAAAAACTAATTAAAAGGATAGTTCACCCAAAAATTAAAAATTAAAAAAAGAATTTAACAGCCAAATTTGATGTGCGATTAATATGCCATTGATTAATCGCCACATTGTGTAATTAATTCGATTAAACATTTTAATCGATTGACAGCCCTACTAATAACATGAATAGGGCTCGAGTTGGCAGTATAACGAGTTTGTAAGATATATTGATATCTTTTTTTATAAACGAAATGGTATGAGGCAATACCGTTTATTAGGGCTACACGATTATGACAAAAATCATTATTGTCGATTATTCCTTTGAAATTGTAATTGCGATTATTAATTTACGATTAAATGAATGATGTTTACACCTTTGTTTGTAGCAACTGTATGCCATATTTTTATATGAAAATAAACAAGCTGAAAACACTAACTTAAAAACTTTTATTGCGTTTCTATAGTATTAAGCCTCAAATGTCAACTTTACATCGGATTGGTTTCTCTTTAAATAAAAAGGTAAAAATATGCATGGTATTATAATGTTATACTAAAATTAAAACAATGGAAAAACCCTTACGATAACATGTAGAAAGAAAAAAAAAGCATCTTAAGCATGCAGAATAATATAAGTGGACTTTGAACGATTAATTGCTGCTTTGAACGATTATGTAATTGTGGCATCCGTAATTGTAATTGCGATTAGAAATTTGATTAATTGTGCAGCCCTACCGTTTATATCGATATACAGTTTGATACGAGCGCATCTGAAAAATAGGACGCAGAGTGAGCTGCTGTGGGGAAGTGAATAATCCAATTTGTCCTAAACATGAGACATGCTTTATATCAGGGGTGGCGAACGTCGGTCCTGGAGAGCCGCAGCCCTGCAGAGTTTAGCTTCAACCCTAATCAAACACACCTGAACAAGCTAATCAAGGTCTGAACGGTTACTAGGAAGCTACAGGCAGGTGAGTTTTCATTAGGGTTGGAGCTGAACTCTGCAGGGCTGCGGCTCTCCAGGACCGGAGTTCGCCACCCCTACTTTATATTTAGGGCTTTAAAATAACACGTAAGATATAGTTAACATATAGTTTAAAGCGGTTTGCTGCTGACTTGCCCTGTTTAATGCGTTTGAGATGTGCTGTTTTCCTTAGTGCACGAGCCTTTCTGCATGCGATTCTCCGCTAAACTTCACAGACTTTATAAAGTGAACGAGGGCGCCAAATGGAGCACAATAACTCTGACAAATTTTTACATTTTGCTAAAAAAAAAAAAAAAATTGTAGTTGGACAATAAATGTGCCATGTGTAGAATTTTAAACCTACAAGTAAGTGTATTTTATGATAGCAGTAACTGTAAAGTGACTATTGTAATGGCGTAATCAAAATATAAAGCAATTAATCTCTGCTTTTGTTTTTATTTCTTTTTATTTTCAGTTTAGTGAATTTAACTTCTGCTTTAAAAAGCATTATTTTTGTTTTTTTAGATTGTAATGTTAAAATGTAATGTGATTTTTGCCCCCTTTTTTGCACATAATAGCCTGCATGGTTACTTTCACTATATTTGTTTTCATTGCCTGTAATATAAACATTGTTTCATTGGACAACATTGGGCAGGATGTTAAAAATAAATAGAGAAACAAATACATAAATAGATTTTTAATCCAAATAGAAAAATGTAAAAAAATACTGAGATATATATTGTATATCGCAATTCAGCCAAAAAAATACTGAGATATGATTTTTTTTTTTCTGTCCGTATCGCCCAGCCCTAAATATGACACCAGCATTTTGGCTCTGTTCCAAACACTAGTGAGCTGTCTTGCTGTCTACTCACTCCTAAAAATAGGGGTTTGCACGGTGATGCCGTAGAAGAACCTTTTTTGGTTCTCCAAACCAAACGACTCCAGTCCATCAATTAGTATCTTGTGAAGTGAAAAGCTGCATGTTTGCAAAAAACAAATTCATCATTAGGGTGTTTTTAAAGGGGTCCTATTATGCTTTTTCAACTTTAGTTAGTCTGTAATGTTGCTGTTTGAGTGTAAAAAATATCTGCAAAGTTACAAAGCTCAAAGTCCACTTCAAAAGGAGACATTTTATTTAATAGAAATCACTTTTCAAAAACTACAACGAACGACTCGTTTGGACTACAACGCATATTTTCCGGGATTTGTGATATCACAAATACCGACGAATGGGACGAGACCTGGTCTAGAAAAGGCAACGAGTGTTATCACTATGTCAGAGACACGCTAGCTTTCCCAAGGCAGACGAACTTAGAGTGGTTACAATCATCCGGGTTTAAATCGCGCTCAAATTGATTTGATTTTGATGCAATATTTACACTGAAGCTCTACAGGAACTATTCGAGCCGTTCATGCCAGACTGGGGAGAGAGGTGTTGTAATAATGTAAAATATGTGAAAAATACAACCTAGTATGAGAGCCTGTTCTAGTACACCCCCAAAACAAAATCAAGACTTTGTAAAAGAGCATAATAGGACCCCTTTAACTTGAGCTTGCTGTTTCCGGCTAAAATATGAGTCCTCTATCCATAATACTGCTTCTCTGAATCAGGAGAGAAATATGCACCGTCCAAAACAGCTCTAAACAAATATGTGGGCAAAAATCGACGCGTTTCAGAAAGGCGAGGCATAGAGGAGAAACAATAATGTACAGTATGTGGAAAATAATGGTTTTTTTTAACCTTAAACCACATAAACACATTTCATTACAACAAACACACAAAATAATGTTGTTTTTAGCAGCATCATACGACCCCTTTAATATAGAAAGTGGGAGCAAATTAAGTTAAAAGTCCTCTGGCGTACTTTCACATCGGAGCTGCAGGTTTGTCCACTGGCCATTCAGGCAGTGTATACTGGTGCTTCCTCTGGCCCGCACGTATCCTGTACTGCATTTGTAGCGAATGCGAGCACCGGATGGATACTCTTTCAGTGTGAAGGATCCGTCTCTGGGGAAAGCATGAGGGATTGACGGAGCTGGACCACATTTACCTGTGAGAGAACCAAAATGCCATTCGTAGACATTTACTGTAGAATTCAGAATGGCACAATACTATACAACCTATTTATATAAATTCGTGTGAAGTTTCCAGTGAGAAGAATGGAATAGTGGAAGCTATTTTTTAAAAATATAACAAAAAAATATAAAAATGAAAAAAAAAAATTATGAATGTTTATATTATAAAAATACA